ATCTTAACTCCATTCTTAAACCCCTATTTTCTTTATTATATTACATGTTTGAAGTGTATTTACGATGTGTGTATTCTATGATGCACCCTGATCGAGTAGTCACGTTTTCATTCTTTCTTTAAGTACTGATAGAAAAAAAAACATTGATACTGAAGATATTGATAAGTTGTTTTTTTATTGAATAATAATAATGAATATGTTTTTGATAAAATAAGAGTAGTGATAATATCAAGCATAAAAATAACTAAAATAAAATAATACTAAGTCAAATTTTACTGATGTTATATCGTTTTAATAATAATTTCATGAAAAAGGGATTTTATAGATTTTGTTAATTTACAAAATAAAACAAGACATTCGTATATATATATATATATGTTGTCCATAGCAGGCCAAACGGCTGGACCGATTGGGCTGAAATTTTTTGTGATCACTCATGGGTGGCCGGGGGGTGTTCCCTGGGGTCACGTAAGGTTCCACACAAAATCTGGGCCCGATCAGTTCAGCCGTTTTGACGTTTATTGGACACAAACAAAGAGACAAACACCCAGACAGACAAGCTAAATTTATATATGATAACACTTTTTCAAACTTCTTTTTAATTTTTAGAAATGTATTTACACTGTCATGTCTAGCATGTCGTTCTGTTTCCTTTCATGTCACCCAATCTGTCCATTAGATGAGTTACCCTATCTGTCTATTATGTCACCCTAGCTAAGCTGGTCTATGATGTGAACGATTTTATCATTTTAAACAGTATAAACATGCAATATTAATGAGACGATTAAATTAACAGATAGTGTCAGGCAGAATTCTTTTTTCTGTTTAATATTTTAAAATTCAAATGTGAAAGAAAAATGGGACCCAGAGAGCAAAATAATTATTTTGGTGCTATAAATTTTTTTTTAGTTATTTTCTCTGTTTGCCATGAAAAATAACAATTTGGAACATTTTTGAAAATCTCAAATTTAAGTTTCTATATACCTGTTAAATTTTGAGGAATAAGATGACCTTCATGCTATAATTTTGTTCACAGCCTGCTGGACAATTTAGCATTTTAAATTTTATAACTTAATTAATTAATAATTTCGCACATTTTCACTGTCATAACTTGGGCACTCCTGTGTCTTGTGTGATTGTGTATTAGCTGTTCCTCGCACACCGGACAGTTGAAACTGGAAGCTCGGCCCGTACAGGTTTTACCTAAGGAATGTTAATGCGCGGAGAGTAGGCTGTAGTTCCAGGACCCACCGCTGTTAGCGCTAGTGTCGCATACCGGCACCAAAACCCATTATTTACCTGGGCCGTACCGCCTGCCCTGGGTAGATGGAAAAAGGAAAATTATCCGACAATGA